ATTGCATATATATATATTATATATATATATATATATATGAAAAAGCAAAAAATGCAATACAATAATGAAAATCTAACAAAAAAATCTTCACTGAAATTAATAGGGTTTTCAAAAACAACACAAACTCAAATGTAAAACATCGTTGCACATTATGGTAATCAGAATTTAGGGGGAATTTTGTTTAATTGGCATGGAATTAAATTTTATAAAGCAAAAACACTTAATGTTTCTAAATATAGGCTCCATTTTCTTTATGCAAAAAGTAATTTCCTATCATTCGGGGGTGGAATGTGACCTGGACATGTTTTTTTTTGAGAGATTTACAGTCAAATCAATTTGCGTGTGAACTCATCACCCACTAAGACACCGAACAGGAACATTCCTGTAGTTGATGCACATTGTCTGGGTCAAGCTTTACATCATGACTGCTGTGAGGATTTGGGTCAGAGCCAGTATTATTCCACCAAAACACTAGGGTTAATATACATACTTTACATTTAGTACATTTACATTAAGTAAATGGTACTCACATAAGACCTCTGCACTGAAGAATTATAATGACTGCTAAGCCATTTATCTAATTAAGAATTTGATGGACATACCTGGTGATCTGAATAAAAGGACATACGATGTGTTGGACTGAAAGGCCAGTCCTGGCCTGGTTCTGTATCCAGGCTCACTCCAGGTCACACACACAGGACTGAGGTGAGCCGATGAGGATCAGCTGTTCATCACTGCCTCCTTGTGGACCTAAAGTAAACTACAGCCTCAAATAAAACCAGTTCAAAAAATAAACCATGCAAAACAATAAAATAAATAAAAATAATGCAGTACAGTAAAATGTACTGTAGTGCATTATTAGAATCTAATACACTATTTTTTTATATATATATATATATATTATATATGATATGTATATACGTATATATTTTTCCTTAAGGTTTGGTAATTGCCAAAAACATTAAATGAGATTGTTATTTATCCCTCTGCAGTTTGGATTCTCGTTTATTGAGACACACACCGTAAAGGCTGTGAAGCTGCGGCCACGCTCTCAGGGAAGTTGTGCTGACGACGTCTCAGAGGAGAACGAGGAGTGTGATTCAAAAACCATGCCCATCATCTCCTCTGATAATATTGTGTTTAAAATATAACACAATATTAACTTCTTATTTACTGAACTGTTGTATAAAATCACATTTAAACTCGTGATATTCGGGACAAAATCAGAACTCGTCTGATATTGCTCTCGCTGCTGGTGTGATATCGCTTATCGTATGATATATAAATATGAGACAAAAACTCATACAGGGGCATTTTGCACCAATATCTTGAATTTTAGGGCATAACTGCATATATGGAGTTGTTGCCCTGCATCATATTTGTGTCAACCATATGAAATATAACGTACAGATTTGGGGGTGGGGCTAGTGCATTAACTGCTTTAATCGCGTTATTTTTACTAATTAAAAACTAATTTAATTAATTAATTAATTAAAACTAATTAATTAGACGATGTCTCAGAGGAGAACGAGGAGTGTGATTCAAAAACCATGCCCATCATCTCCTCTGAAGGAACATACCCCTGGAACATTGATGGAGATCTCTTGGAGGTCCCATCTGAACTCCTGATAAGGTACAATGTCAGTCAAACACAAATGTACAGCAGTAATCCATTAGAGGACTGTGATTTCAGTGTTTCTGACTCGAAAACGGACTCATAACCATGGAAAAATCACTGTAATACAGTTGCAAATACAGCAATATCATAAAAGACAAATATTCAATGTCCTAAAAGTATTACAAAACTAGCCCAAGTCAGAATTTTCCATTTCAAAACACTGAATAAGTCCCATCCCTGTTTATTTGCAAAACAGTAGTCAAGATAGCCACTGTATACTTGCAGAAGCTGAACTTCAGATGACCTGTGTGTAAGCACAGGCCGTGTTGTTTGAAGACACGGCAAACATTATATGAGCAGAACTTGATTAAAAAAATCTCAATTCAATTTTAAAGCTGCAGAAAGAGTGACAGAAGAATAAACAGAACAGTGTTGAGCTTCTAAGAAAAAGGGAGGGACGTGTGCGTATATCAGATAAATCCTTGTAAATGTTTAAATGTCCTGACAGCTCTGTTTATTTTCCAGAGTTCACCCGCAGCTCCTCACACTTTTTGGAGCAGACATGGAGGAGGCGGAGGAGTCGCCGGTTAAATGCAGCTGTATCTGAACACACACAACCACATTAAAGATAGAGCTACGAGAAACTGAAAGAACAAACTGCACAGAGCAAAGCTTTAACATTTATATAGAACATTTTATGACAGAGCAAAAACATATGACACGTAGTACATTCCAGTGCATACAAATTTAAATTAAACCATTTTTTTTTTTTTACAAATTTGTATCATTTTTAAAGACAGGAAATAAAATGAAAACATGAACTTATTACAAATACTGATTTAAAAAAAAAATAATAATGTGCTTTTTTGTACACCATTCCCTGAACAGTAGAGACTTGTTTTTCTTTCTTTTTTTTCTCTTTGTATATTTTATATAAAAAGCACTGACAAGCAACCCATCCAATGTGGCTTCCCAAATCTAAAGATTATATCACACATTTTTAGCTTTGAATTTTTTGATTCATACACCAACACACTCTTTTGACCAGGCCCAAGCAAAACCAGCTGACTTTTCCATATTTTATGCATTTGTTTTGGGGATTTGTAAAATAATTTATAAATGTTTTATAATCTAGAAAAAAAATATAGAAATTATGTGTTGTTTCTAAAATGTTTTATTAATAATAATAATATTACAATTATATATTTGTTCAGTTTAGTTCATAATTTTGTTGTTTGTTTGAATATTTAGGAAAAACTGTATTCATAAAATGTCAGTACGTTTTAGTTTTTGTTTCTTATAACAGCACCAAAAATCATTTTGCATATGATGACACATTTGACATGATAATCAGTTTTGGGAAATTCAATTTAATTGAAAAAATACAAAAACGAACTTTCTCTGTAATTGTATAGATTTTTTTCTCTCTCAAATTTGTCCTATTTTTTATCTATTAAAAAAATTACTCAGTGCTGATGTTTTCAATTATAACCTTAAATATATATTGCATTGAACATTTGAATTTTGCCGAGAGCTTTCTGCACGTGCGGATTCGCTATGGACCTGCATATGAGTGAGCGGTAATGGTGCTTTGTATATTTGTGGATTTCATGTCCTATAAATGAACACACACACACTCTTAAGCAATGGCTGGGAGCCAGACACATGCCAATCCTGTCACTCTTCTGTAGCGCAGTAATAGACACACAACAGCAGCCTCCTTTGCCCCGTTTCCATGGCACCCAGCCAGAGCACACAGCAAACACTCGCTCCTTCCATCTGGCGTCTCAGTTAAACTTCTAACTAGTGAACTCAGCAGCGAGAGTTTGGGAGGAGAGAGAGAATGCATGTCATTTCCTCCTTTTTTGCAAGAAGAACCGATACTGCAGTGATGCAAAGGTGTGAAAACCCCTATCGCAGCAATGTTCTGCTTCGGAAAGGGTGATGGAAAGTGCCAGAAAATCCTGGGTCACCTCTGTGGAGGGTATACTAACTTGCGGGCGTAAAAGAGCGAGCCTCTCTTCAGATAAACACAGGAATAACCTTAGTAAGAAAAGCTACAGCAGTGCAATTTCTACTCTACAGCAGGCCATCAGCCAATATGTTCAGTGATCATAGGCAAACCTGTGATGAAACACTTAGGCTCCGTTCCAAAACCTAGTGAGCTGCCTTGCTGTCTACAGCCTAAATAGGCAGCTGTTAAGGCAGAATCCGAACTCAAATAGCACCTTATAAATTGTAACGCTGCCTTAAAATTTGGTCACGCTTCCTACCTTGAGGAACCGCCTCCAAAGTAATGCTGCCTACATAGGTTGCTCACTAGGTTTTGGAACAGAGCCGTAACGTTCTGTAGCGACAGTACATTCTGAATCCTTTTCTCCCTTGGCACAGTCCCGGAGCGATTCATTGAGCTCATGTAGTATGTTCCATTCTCTAAAGTGCATTGGCTTCATCCTGCTGACAGAAAATGCAGATTCTTTTGACAGTCTTTGTACTCTTCATCGCTTTGTGATGAATGTTCTCAGCCATTACGGTCATTAGTCCAGCTCTTGGTGACAACAGAGCAGTAGTCCTTCATGGCTTGTCCCTTCCATTCTGATTGGTTTTGTTTGTGGTGTAAATCCCATATTATGACACGCTCTCTTTCTTAGGTACATAGTCCCAACTGTCCTGGTCAAACTTCTCCTCCTTCAACTTCCGCTCAAAGAATCCAAGCTAATAAAAGCAAGAGATTGCATGATTGTCAATGAGCAAAAGTATGTCTCAATTTCAAACCCAACAAGTTAGATTTTTTACTCTTTGCTGATTTATTTGCTTAGTAGGGTACTAATTGCTAGATTGACTGAATGACTGTTCAGTCTTAATTAACAACCGTATGTAATCGTACTGGATTAGAACTGGTTCACGTTTACCAGAAACCAATCAGACAAGTTTCTTAACTACATTCTTGCATTGAAAAACAGCTAGACGGAGCATAGTGGAATTAAAGAGATTTCAAAGTGTTTTTAAAAACGAAACTTGATACTTAAAATTGCAACACTCATGGCACAAAACATTGAAAAACATAAGCAGAATGCATCAATGTGCACATATGTAACCCTGGACCACAAAACCAGTCTTAAGTCGCTGGGGTATATTTGTAGCAATAGCCAAAAATACATTGTATGGGTCAAAATTATTGATTTTTCTTTTATGCCAAAAATCATTAGGATATTAAGTAAAGATCATGTTCCATGAAGATATTTTGTAAATTTCCTACTGTAAATATATTAAAACTTAATTTTTGATTAGTAATATGCATTGCTAAGAACGTCATTTGGACAACTTTAAAGGCGATTTTCTCAATATTTTTATTTTTTTGCATCCTCAGATTCCAGATTTTCAAATAGTTGTATCTCGGCCAAATATTGTCCTATCCTAACAAAGCATACATCAATGGAAATCTTATTTATTCAGCAAAAATTTACCCTTATGACTGGTTTTGTGGTCCAGGGTCACATATTAGAAATTTGACTGTATTTTTTTATTTTCATTATTGAAGATAGTTTTTTTTTTTTTTTTTTTAGAAGAGCACTGCTTTGATGGGTTATACATCCTTTACCACAAACTTTTACCATGGTAAAGCCCAGCATGCTGTTAAACCCTCTACGAGATGGTGTATCTCTAAAAAAAAGTCATTTCTTCAGATATTTCAGGTCTAGCTTTAGTGAAATTTGTGAACAATTCCTATGTTCTTAATTCCTATGAGTCTTCCTAAGAGTCTTGCATTAGAATATGACATTAAGTCACACTTGAGAAAGTGTCATATGATACATACCTTCCAGAGGGCAAGGACAAGCAGTGCTAAAATCATCAGTCCAACGATCAGACTGGATACTATTAGAAAAATCTGCACAGCCATCACAGGCTTATTGCTGTACAGAGCCTCCAAGGACACCTGAAACATTTCAAACATTCAAGTTTAACAAAAACCTGTAAATGCAGCATCTCATCATGTATTTCTGGCATTAGAGATCCAGACTACTTACTCTAGCAGAAACGTCGTCCTGAAGTAGGATGGTGTCGGCATCCTTCACTGGTGAAATAAGGTCAATCATGCCACGTACCATCATGACAGCGTGTCTGCCCTGTAGGAAATATACATGTATAAGGTCATGTGTTTTAGTTGTACAATTCAGGTAATCCATCTGTCAAACAATGGTTGATTGGGCCATATTATTCTTCTCATCTCTAACAAATACTCACTGGACTCATCTGGAGAACCCTGGGGTTGAGCTCCACTTCCATAGTGATGGTAACTTCCTTTCCAACCTCCAGGTCACCGAAGTGACACTCCACCATCCTGCAGGTCTTATCTTCAGGACCACAGAACTGCAGAACAACAGAGCGTGAGACCTTCTCATAGCATTTACACTAAACACACCAGAACTCAATACTATGACTATTATTTACCATGATGCGCTTGCTTTTTGGGGAGAAAAAGAATACAAGTTCTTGAATAAAGGAAGCTTCTGGGATGTCACAGTCATCAATAATCTGTACTGAATTGTTCCTCTGGAAGCAATGCCCAAGAGTTGTCTGCAAGACAAAAAAACAACTTTAGTTTAAGTAAAGAAAAAGATGTGTACATATAGATGTATGGCATAGCTAAGTTATAGGCACTGTTAGGAATAGTTTGTGTGTTTCTTCTGTGAATAAAGCCAGAGATGTCTGGCAGAATGTCTGAACTTCTGATGTCTGATTGTGATTTATAATACCAAGCTCCGAAAGAATAATAAAACACCATAAATTATTTAATTAATAATAAAGTGCTATATCTGATGCCTTAAGTTGAACAACGGCTCTGTGTGAGGAACAGATGAAATTTAATCCAGTGTCTACTAATAATCTTCCAGATTTAGAGTTTTTCAAACTTGACATGTCATGATTTGTCACATGACATACCATGACCAATTCAATTTGGCTTCAAAGATGTCAAATATGCCATGAAATACTAAAGCGGACTCATTTTTAACGATCTTATACCATAAATCGCCATCCATTTTCATTCTACTTTCATTGTTTCAAAAGCAGAAGCACAAACATTCTGACTAACATCTCATTTTGTGAAAGAAATGTGGATGGAATGACATGACAGTGAATATAAATAAAGACTATTTAAATTTTGGGGTGAACTATTCCTTTAAAATACTGTATATAATATACAGTACACCAGTTAAGATTTACTGTTTTTTTTATATCATTATTATTTTTTTAACAAGTCTCTTATGCTCAACCAGGCTGTGTTTAATTGATCAAAGATACAGTGAAAACAGTAATATTGTGAAGTATTACAATTTAAAATATGTTTCTCTTTTAATATACTTTAAAATGTAATTAATTCCTGTGATGGCAAAGCTAAATTTTCCCGTCTTTAGTGTCACATGATCTTGATTTGGTTCTCAAGAATCATTTATTATTATTATCAATGTTGAAAATATGCTTAATATTTTTGTTCAGTATTATTGGATGAATAGAAAGTTAATTTGTAACAATATCAATGTCTTTACTGTCACATCTGATCATTTTAAGGCATCCTTGCTGAATAAAAGCATTCATTTCATTCATTCCGAAACAATCTTACTGACCCCAAATGCATAATTGCATATGTAAATCTCACCTGTAAATCGGTGATCCTGATTAGCTGGTATTTGTATGGCACCAGCATCAGAGGCAAGCCGATCTTTAGTCTCGCATCACAAGCTTTACTAGGACCCATATTCATCACCTGCAAAGTTAATAGACATTGTAACGAAACAAATCATGTCAAATGATTCATTAGTGCTTAATGACACTGTTGTCTGTCTGATGAGCGCTAAAATACCTTGTACGTATAATTGAACTTCTCAGGATAGCAGTCGACCGGCACCGACTCTTGTTCTCCAATCAGAAATGAAGTCGGAGAGACAAATCTGCAGAGGAGAGATGAAGAGAAGCGTCCTGTAATTTGGCCTGTTATTCTTCCGACATCTACGGATTCACATTCATTAGCAAAACAGACAACTTACCCGTGAACATTGAGGTCAACTGCATATCTCAAGGGCAACTTAAGAACAGCCACATTGTCGTGCTGAAGATCTGTGTTCTCAAAGTTCTCGCTGAAAAACACACATTAGATTGGTTTACATTCACTATTAAGGAAACATACAATAGCAACAAAAATTAACTGGCCAATGGTTCTTAAAAAGGTGAAGTTAGTTCCGAGGAAAGCTCTAGCAGCATTTATTTGCAGACGACACTTAGTTTGATAGTGCCCTATCTAATGAAACTTCGTGTTAAGTGCAGTTTAAGTGTCCAAATGCTTTTTGGGGTCATTGTATATGTAATATACTAATATATACTAATATACCCTGAGATTTCATTATAGGAACTCATTACATAGGCTATGTAGGCATCCATCTTTAGATCCACAGTTTTTCTTGTTTCTAACAGTAACACTGAAAGCACACAAAACCTTTGAGCGTGCTGTTTAATGCCTTTGTCTTTTGCGTTCTGATGTCAATTTACAACCATAAGCAGTGGCGAGATGCTCTCCACAAATGTTTACATTTGGCTCAGATGTCTTTGTATTTGTGTAAACCATCCTTTGTAATGAATTCCTCAGATCTAGGGCCGAGATCTCTAGATCTCTCACCTCGTCGCATTGATGTTAATGCTAAGGTTTCCAGCGCTGCTGTTCTGCATCACATCCAATAAAAAGGTGATGTTGATCTGGAAGAAAGCAAAGAGATGTTTATATTCCAACAAGCAAACTCGTGCATCTTCCATTGCTAAAGACATTTACCTTTGAGAAAGGGGGGATGTATAAATTCCCAACATTGCAGTCCAGTCCAATGGCCACTTTATTCTCCTCTGCGATTTCACAGCTGATGTATTTATCTTCCTGAAATAATATCACAAATAGTAAAGCACATCAAAGGCAAGATCGAAGTGAAGTGCATCAGAAATACATAGAGCTAAAAGCTGGCTGTCAGATATCGAAGACAAAACCAACCAAAATTAAACTACCTCCAGCACTTTGATGAAATGCAGGTTGCTGGGAAACCTCAGGTAAAGTTTGGGTAGAAAAGCATCATCTCCGATGTTGACCAGTGTGGTGTTTAACATGATGCTTTTTCCATTACCCAGGGCAAAGTATGGCATGTTCCTGTAGGACCTGTTGGGAAAACAGTTAGTTAAAACATAAATTAAGCATTTTTATTCATTTTATAAATGAAGCATTTTAATCCATTGTTTAGTTTGTATAATTCTTAACTCAGAGTGAAGAAAAGATTCGGAAAAAAATACAAATAATAATAATAGCTATTATTATTATTATGGTTTAAGCATAATTTTAACCACAGAAAATCTTCAGTATAAAATACCATTCAATGCCTTTTTCTTTTTTGGCACATCTTTTTTACAGCTTTTCAATATTTGAAAAATATTACACAACATTTTAAAAGCTGCCAAATGAAGGAAGAACAATATCAGTTAGAAAAAAAATACACAAGAAAATACATTTTTGGTAATAAAAAAAAAATGTGTAACTTAAAATTAGCATTTTGCAAGATTTATAATTGAATAATAATAGTGTCAAATGATGTGCAAGACAATTAAAAACTTTAATATAAAAATTAAATATGTTGTGGTAACTGTCGCAAAAGCAAAAATTCAGTGTCACTGCAACTGTAATCAGTTCTTTGCAATCAACTCCTCTTTATTTCATCCCATTTTAACATTTTAATTTAAAATAAAAATATACACATTTAAAATATTTGTTCTGATCAATTAACTAAACTGACATAATTATGATCATTGTTTTAAAAAAAAAAATAAATTGTAATAGTTTATGTTCATTTTAGAATATTTGAAAGACTCATTATTGTAGAATTTAATGGGAAAATGTGCCAGTGTTTTTCCTGCATGTGTTTGAGTAGCTTGTGCAGTGAGGGCTCAAGCCTGATGTTTCTCATCTAAAGGCACCAGGTGCATCTGGGAGAGTGACAAGACACTCTCCCCCTCACTCTCTTTCTCTCATACACACACACACACACACGGGCCTTATAAATAATCAGATCATGTATTATCACCAATGGGTGAGGGGGGTCCATAAATTAGTTTGCATACGGCTGCAAACATGATCCAAAATGCTAATGTGCACACTCACGCTTTCGCCTCAATTGGGCGAGTCCAAGAAATGTGATGCATAAAATGCATCGATATAAAGCTTTGGCTACTGAGCATGCTGGTTTAATAGGTGTATTCATGAGGAGAGCAGATAATCTCAAAAGCCCTCCTGTTAGTCACAAACAACACCAGCACAACTAGAACTTGAACTTGAAAAGAAAAACAACTCACGAAAACTACAAGTATTAAAGCTTAAGCTGTTGTATAACAGTGTACAACATGTAATATAGTTGAGTAAATATCCTCATTTTATCCCACAATCAAAAGAAAGAATATTTTTTTCTTATAGAAAATGAGGAGTATTTTTTTTTAGCTTATTTTAGGATTAAGATGTTTTGTATTGTGACATTATAAATGTCTTTTTTTTTCTTTATGACAATTAAACATTTTCCTCCAAAATTACCGTAATGCAAAAAATGTGATTAGCTTTACTGAAATACAGTAATGAAAACCATCATGTCTGAATGCAATTATTTTTTTATGAAACCAGCATAAATTAAATTTAGTACATAAACGACTTCTAAGATATGTACAATTGTAATTTTTGTATCATTTAAATCATATTAAACAACAAACAGAAATTTCTCTGCAATTTCCAAGAGATTCACCCAGTTTGCATAGGATATATGTTGATGACTTACTGTGGTAAAACCAGATGAGCAGAAACCTGCAGGTTGGTCGAACAGTTTTCCCAGGAACAATATCGGGCAAAGATGGTCTACAGAAACATAGAACGATTTCAAGTCAAGACACATTGTGACCTACAATGGGGTTAATAAAGTGGCCACAGAAATTAACCACAATAACAAAACAAAGATTGAGAAATAAAGAAAAACAGACATTGTTTTTCACAACGTTGCCATGCTCATCCTTCTGCTGTAGAATGGGTTTGAGGGAAGGCAAGCCCCCGGAGTCTCTCTGTAGCACGCGGTGCTCTCCAAGTTTATATATCACCTCAAAATGAATGGGTGTGAAGATATCCCGGACGTCTTTCTGCACACATGAGAAATAAAACATATAAACAAGATGTTCTGAAGAAAATGACTGGCGTTTGTCTATCCAAATTTCACCACCACCAATGCAAGGTGTTCCGATACACTCTTAAAAATAAAGATGCTTAAAAGGTTCTTCACAGCGATGCCATAGAAGAACCATTTTTGGTTCCACAAAGAACCATTCAGTCAAAGGTTCTTAAAAGAACCATCTCTTTCTTACCTTTTTATAATCTGAAGAACCTTCTTTTGCCACAAAGAACCTTTTGTGAAACAGAAAGGTTCTTCAGATGTTAAAGGTTCTTTATGGAACCATTTAGACAAAAAAAAGGTTCTTTTATGGCATTGTGAAGCACCTTTATTTTTAAGAGTGTATGGTTGCTAAGGTGTTCAGAGTTTTTTGTTTTCCTTAGGAAATGAATACTTTTATTCAGCAAGGATGCATTCAATTGGTCAAAAGTGACAGTAAAGACATTTATAATGTTACAAATGATTTCTATTTCTAATAATCGTTTCCAAACAGGTTTCCGAATAATTCCTGCTATTTGCCATTTGGTAAAAAAAAACCAAGTTTCAATTTCAAACTGGTTGGGATCAGGGCTCAAGCTTTGGTTATTTCACACGATTCAATTCGTTTCTACTGGTACACTAGTACTGTTCGAAAATCTGGAATCAGTACAATTTATTCATTTATCTTTGGAAGAAAATGAATACTTTTAATTCAGTAATACAGTAAATAAATGTTTGGCATTACAAAATATTTCTTTTTAAAATAAATGCTGTTCTTTTTAACTTTCTACTCAAAGAAATCAGAACAAAAATACATCATGGTATCCAAGCACAAATGTTTCCAACATTGATCATAATTAACCAGCATATTAATATTATTTCTGAAGGATCATGTAACACAGAAGACTGGAGCCATGATGCTGAAAATTCAGCATTGCGTTACAGGAATAAATTACATTTTAAAATATAACAAAATAGAAAACAGATATTTTATATTATAGTAATATTTCACAATATTTCTGTTTTTACTGTATTTTTGAACAAACAAACGCAGCCTTGGTGAACATAAGAGACTTTGTTTAAAAACATCTAAAAATCTTACCAACTCCAAACTTATGCTTGACTACACTTTTGTATTCCTCCCATCTTAATTTTCCTAACCTAAGTGCAGATAATTAATGCAGGTAAGGTTTGCTCTGATGGTCGTCTCTAATTGGGGGCTCAGTGGTTGGGAGTTGTCCTGTGGGGTCTCTCGGGCCTGTATTTAGCTGCAGGGGAGATGTGTGACCGGGGTTTTGGAAAGCTCTTCCATGGCCAGTGTAAATGAGCTGGACTCCAGCCACAACAACAACCTCAGAGAGACGCTAATTTCTGCAGCAAAGGCTAAACTCAAAGTCAACGCTGTGAACTTGTATCCTTTGCTCAGGATGTGGTCGCTGAATTCAGTCGTCCAAATGTGCGCACACGCATCTAGTGTGTCACTGGCACGTCTAATCTCATGGGTACAACCCAGACAGACAAGTGATATTTCAAGGAACCTGTAAAATTATTTTATGAGAAAACTGCTGTGGTTCACCAGGGGTGGTGACAACGGCTTTACATGATCATGAGAAAGACTGGGTGTTTCCTTCACACCTTCATTCAGCTCAAAGTTTATTTCACTCAAAACAAGAACTGAAAATATTGCTTGCCTGATCAAAAATTCAGGCCTGGTACATTTGCAACTCAAAACAACAGCACTTTAATAAGGGTTCCTTTAGTTTTGGGTGGAGAGGTGTTAAATGCAACTCATTCCTTTGTTTGTAAAACAGGCAAAAAGATTGCAGGATGATAGTGCACTGCGGTATTTCAAACCAGAAATGGGAAGCACTTTAATGAATTGTATAATAAATAAACACTACAGTAAAGCTGTCTAAACCACCATTTTGAGGTTGGACTCCTTTTCAAGGTGGAACTTCACTTACAGTACATCTCCATTTATGCATTTGGCAGACATTTTTTATCAAAAGCAACTTACATTGCATTCAAGGTACAGAATACATTTGGTCAAAACCATAGCTACAGGAGCTACAATGTGGATAAAAGTGCCTGCAAAATGCATAAAATGTAAATGTAGATGTCAAATTTCTTCCTGGTACTCTCACTTCAATATCACACTAGCACTTTTAAAACAGGTGCATTTAGAAAAATAATTTACTGGCCTTTCATCGCAATTCAATTATTCTACATGTTTGTTTTTACAAATTGAAGGACAAGACTGAATAGTTTGCTGTGTTAATCAACAGCATAAAGCTTCAGTATTCAAAGCTTAACAATCTTTTACAGACCCCAAGAAATTTATACTAAAGTTTTAAGCCCATCTATATGTCATGTAATAGTAAAAGTGGACAATTTACTTTATACAAAGTATTCAACTGATGATTCATCTTATACTAACAGAAATACACTACTTTTCCAGTGTTTGGGGTCAGTAAGTTTTTTTTATTTTTTAAGAAATCAATAGTTTTATTTAGCAACAATGCATTAAATGGAACAAAAGTGACAGTAAAGACATAAGAGTTACAAAAGGTTTATATTTCAAATAAACTGGCTTCTTTTGAACTTTCTATTCATCGAAGAGCCTTGGAAAACTCTATTGCAGTTTCCACAAAAAATATTAAGCAGCACAACGGTTTTCAACATTAATTATGATGAGAAGATAAAGATTTCTTGAGGAGTAAATCAGCATATCAGAATGATTTCTGAAGGATTATGTGACTGATGAAAAAAAAAAAATCAGCTTTGCCATTACATGAAATAAATCATATTTTAAAATATATCAAAATAGAAAACATTTATTTTAAATTGTAATAATATCTCACAATATTACTGTTTTTGCTGTATTTGTGATCAAATAAATGCAGTCTTGGTTAGCATAAGAGACTTTTTCCAAAACATTTACAACAACATTTTCAACAACATCTCTCTCACCAATATCCCCTGCATATTAGCAAGTAGCAACTGACATAAGACTACTGGCTATTTTTTAAAAATGAACACACCATTCGATACGCCCATCTCAAACTTCCTGTTTCAATAATAAATAGTAAATATGACAAAATATAACAGGGTTCGACAAGCTCCTTCGTCACTTTTCTAAAACACACCACAAGGTGTCCGCCACATCTGCTTTGTGTTCCATTTGTTACTCTTATTGCTCATTAATTAAGCTCTAAAACTACCTCAAATATAGCAGCCTCCTTGTTTGGGTTTGCCTCTGACAGATAACCGCACTTGTTTATGGCCACCGTCTCCATCAGCGGCCATTAATAACAGCGAAGCTATACACAGGCCTCCATTAATTAATGTGTAAAACATGAGCTGGATCAGATGGCCCTGATTACAGGAAGAGACAGAGGGAGAGACATCCAGAGGGGCCCACCAAACACCTGGAACATTCACTCATACTCACAGAGCCATCTATCCGCACTTTATCAACTGTCTAGGTCTCTTTCTGTACCGTCCTCCCCCGCGCCATCCTGCCTGGCTCTTCCTCTTGTTCGCCAGCAGCGACAACCTGCTATCGACTCCAACAAACTATCTGTAAGAGCCTCTTTATCATCCCGGCCTCCTGCGTGGAGTCACGCTGTAAACCTAGAGAGAGAGTCACACCACCTGGGCCTCTCAGAGAGGCTGATTAACTCGAGCATGAAGAGCAGAGTGACGTGGGCGAATCACAGCTGTGAAGTCCACTGGCTACAGTCTGAGTCAGCACTTTCGTATAGAGTATTTAAGTTTGGGACACACAACAGGGGCCGATCTAAGAAAACATCAAGGCACATCTGGCTTTTTATATGAATTTCATCCATACACTGAAATGAAAAGGGATTTTCATTCCTGTACTCAATCTATATGACCAAATATCAGTTAAATGTTTCATACTAGTGAACGGTAAAAGAACGGCAACATAATAAATGGTATAAATTAACTATAAGAAAAAAATGTTGACCCTCAGTGATGCAAGTAACAAAGCAAAAATCAAATTCATCAAAGACAAAAATCTAAGGAGCCCCGCACATGGAATGCAGGAAAAAATAGTAGGCTAAATCGCGTGCACGATTTACTATTTAGTTCACTCGATTTATAAATTGTGTGCACGATTTACTAATTCGTTCCCTCGATTTGCTAAATCGTTCGCTCGATTTGCTAAATCGGTCGAGGGAACGAAATAGTAATCGTTTGCACGTTTTAGTACATCGAGGGAACGAATTAGCAAATCGAGGGAACGAAATAGTAATCGTGTGCACGTTTTAGTACATCGAGGGAACGAATTAGCAAATCGAGGGAACGAAATAGTAAACTTGTGCACGTTTTGGTACATCGAGGGAACGAATTAGCAAATCGAGGGAACGAAGTAGCAATCGTGTGCACGTTTTAGTACATCGAGGGAACGAATTAGTAAATCGTGCGCACAATTTATTTATTTTTTCTTGCATGTCATGTGCGGGGCTCCGTAAAAATCTAAATCTAAGACATACAATCAACTGAGGAAAACATGTCCTACAACTTGCACATGTTCGAATCACTTTAACCTTCAGAACTCTTTATCTAATAAGATCCTTAATGTTTATATATTCTGTATGAACATGCAATATGCAAGTATTATCAACCAAACGTATAAACCATCCTTGTTAACTAAAATATTGCTGAAATGAAATATAAATATTAGATAAAAAGACTCAGAATAAGTGCTAAAATGACAAACTAAAATAAAAAATAAATTAAAGCTAAATGGAAACATGAAAAGTTCATTTAAAAAAAAGCACATCAAACAACAAAATTTCTAAATCCAAAAAACAGTGTCAGGGTAACTTCTAAAACAAACAAAATTATGAATCTGCCTTTGTCATAAAATGTACAGTAATTTGTTTAAGACTAAAGTCATAATATGACAGTGTTAAAAGTAACATCCCCCAACACAGGTAATGAACATAAACAGAGTCTCGCACCTTCATGAAGGCCTGATGGGTGGCACAAGTGAGCTGCTCATGCTTGGCCTTCACTCTGCCGGCTGTAACATTGGATGTGCCGTTTCCACTGAAATAAAATCGGGAAGGGAAGCCATCTTTGTGGTGAACATCAGCTGTTATGTTGTACTTCAGCTCTGCACAGGAAGAATATGGCATTCAGAGACAAACTTACAGTTAGGCAAAGACAACCTGTTAAAGACAACCTGTTTCTCTTTAATGAAGGCTAATCATTACAAATAAATGAAAAAGTGGCATCAGGGCAAAAACAGTACAACTAATAATATAAAATGGATAGATTTGATTATGAATTCAGATTGGATGAGCTACAGTCAAAGCCGTTATGATGTTCCTGTGTGACTGTTAACAACGAAACTAAACCGTTCTACTCTTGTTTGGGACATCCCGCTCTTTATTATCTCACTTTTAAATAACACATACAGCAGTCCTGTAAACTGACAGATATACTGTATCAATCTACTGTTATATAAACGCTATAGCAAAATCTCTGGGTGGCACATTTCTGCTGTCGCTACTTCATATCAGTTTCAAGATTATGAGTATTGGTCATCAAGCACGGCTCTGTTGTTTACTATTTGGACAGAGAGCGTCGATCTATCAGTGAAGGCAGGCCTTGACACACACCCTGAGCCCTCTAACCACCACAACAAAAGAGGGGATGTGGGGCCGAGATAAAGAGCTGGGAAAGATGTCTGAAACACAGCGAACTGCCACTGCCTTCAGCACGTGCTGATAAGACCAGCCAACACACAACCTCTCGCAAACAAAGAGCTCGAGCCCAAAACGTTCATCCTTGAATATCAGAGGTCACTTCACATCGTATCTAAAAAGTCAGATTGCACTGCAGGAAGTTGCAAAATGGTCTTGTATCCCTGTAGGGTTTTATTGAACAAATACTGTTAATTTGGAGGGAATTTTAAGTCAAAAGTACAGTTTTCAAACACTTTTTAAATTAAGATTATGTTCAATGGGTATTACGGTCTTACCTATATTTCCTGGGATTTGTTTCCCTCCGACTCTAAAGCACACCTTAACTTTGACACATACAGCAGGAAGACCGTTTTCAGTGCACTGGGCTATGGACCGGTTCAAGCTCTCAGGCAGCAACATGACAGCATCCACCTTCACTACTGGACGCGTCCTGAAACAACCAGAGTTATTGGGTTAGTTGTCTGGTCAAAAAATTACCACGGGAGGCCAGGTCTATCCAGAGAATTTGTCATACATATTGTGATTAATTATAGGTATATTTTTTCATTGTATTTTTAAAAAAATAACTTTATCTTTTCAATTTAAAGTGTTGGTAACACATTACTTGAAGCCTTTATGCATAATGCATTACAAAAGTAGTTTTAATGCATTAATTATACCTTGTAATGCACCTTATAATGCATTATATTATCTCATGAATAATTGTAACCACAGTTAATACATTATAACACCATCAATTTATTGTTACACTATGCATTTTAAATTTGGTTATAATTATTTACAACAAGATATAATGTATTACAACGCACATTATGAATAATTATATTGCATTATACCCTTTAATAACCCTTTATAATGCATTGCACAAAAAGGCTTGAAGGAAAGTGTTACCAAAATGTTTCATTTTTTGTTTTTGATCAAATTTAGTTGACGAATTAAGTTAGTATATAGTTAGTTAGTATAAAGATTTTTAATTGCAGGTTCCCATTATGACAGCTTATCCCATACAATAACATCCCATGCCTGCTGAAGAGACTTTTCTCCATTTCAAAACAGTGAAATTGTTTGAAATGTAATGTTTTTTTTAAAGACTTAAACAAAACAGTCTCTGTGAATAATATTCATTTGGGATAAAAAAAATGTGACAACTAGCCCCAGTCTCTATTATAGCTAGGCCTGCTATGGAATACGCTACATAATATGTAGATCTTTTTGCATTTTCCACACTGATTTTAGAAGATAATTTACAGAATTCTATGGAATGTACTTAAATGTGCTAAATAGAGTTCTATAGTCTTACTGGTAACTGAAAACATCATAAAATTAGCTTAAGTAAACTTTAGGAGTGGAAGATGTATAGAATTGAATGATGGGCATTCACATTCAGTTATGCAGAAATAAATTCCTATAGACAATACCAAATCTTAAAAGTTGCCAAAGCAAATGTGTGTGAAAAACTCATCTGCTGTTTTTACCTGAACACCACAGCTGAGTCTGACAGGAAAGCTCCCACTGCAACATCTGGGTGAGAACATACAATTCCCATAAAACATACCTGACTTGGTTATTCTTTCACACATTCCTAACTCACAAGTGCACTAATATTCTTTAAAATATTCAACATTTCTATAAACAAGGCCTCAGTCACAAAAAAAAAAAAAACTGTCATACTACATTTAACTTGGGGAGTGGCTACTAGTTCTAAATAAATAGGGTTAATTTGCATCTTTAATTTTGTGTTAAATGTTTAATGTCGTTTGGCACTTAAAGGGGTCATGAACTGAGAAATCAAAATTCCCTTGATCTTTTGGCCTACAAGAGGTCACTGTACTATAAAAACATCCTGTAAGTTTCAGAACTCAAAACTTTCTCGTTAGTCTAAAAACAGCTTATATTGAAGCTAGACTGCCAAAACGACAGACTGTGGAATGTACCACTCTATGACATAATAGTGTGGCTAAACACCACCTCCACAGAAGAAGATCAACGCCTTCTTCTACATCGCTGCCTCTTTAGCCCCGCTTACCGATTCACACATATAGTGTAAATAACAAGATGCGCAAACGCGAAAAAAATCTAACGATATAGATCGCTCCGAAGAGTGGATGAACTTTATTTTTATTGACATTCCAGACAGTGTCAGTAAGAACTTGGTCCTTTGTTCATGTCATTTTACCACAGATTCGCTTACAAACAAGGCTCAATTCAACGCGGGATTTTCAGAAAGATTAAAACTAAACTAAATGTCGCACCACACAAGTGCGAGTAACTGTTTTTATTACGTGATCACTATTGCTTTGTCTGTTATTACAGATCGTTTGATATATACTGAGTATGTATGCGTTTTTTACCTAAATCACAGCAGCATCCCTCTATGAAGGATGTAGGCTGCCGAACATACTCAAGTGTTAGCCAATCACAGCAGTGGGCGTTTACTTCCGAGTCTACAATCTGCCACGCCTATTCAAACAGAGTGTTCAGATGAGGGGGGTCAAAAGAGAACAGAAAATAACCTATTACTTCTAAATTATTATGTTTTTATGTAAAAATCTTGATAACATTATAAGTGGACCTCAGAGAACAGTACAAAATAATTAAAAAGGCAGTTCATGACCCCTTTAAATCAAATAGCGAGCCAGAAAATTGGTTGCATAACGAAATGGAAGCTCAAGTTGAGCACATCGTATTGTGGGATACAGTATTCCACACACTGTGCTCGAATTGCATAATTGAGAAAAAGTAGTAGGCTAGGTAATCGGGGTATTTCATTCATACAGAAGATCTGCATACTGTTCACAGTATACATACTACTACTTTCTTTCAAAACAGTATGTAGTACTTGTCCATTCTGGTACTGTGCATATTTTTCTGCCTTCAAAAAGACAAGAAGAACAAGAAGTTCTGACACATCTGAGAAAAAAAAAATTGTGTCAGCTTTATTTTGAGTCTCTTTTAGATTTGTGATACATATTCAGGAAGTACATCAACAGCTGACACCCACAGCATAACTGATCAAAAATGGTGATCTGAAAACATGTCGCACCATGTCATTTCCTCTAAAGAGGTTTTATAATATGGCCATGTTCACACACTAGCTTGCTGCTCTTCATTTGTGCATGCAGAGTTTGGTTGTTTACGGAACGAGAAACCACATTTGACTAGTGAATTGTGACCACATTTACATTAAATACAAGTAGTGTGCACAGAACTGAACAACTATATGTCAAGGCAGTAACACCACTCTCTTAGACACTAATACTTTGTCTGAGATCTAATTCGCGATACATCATGTCAAAAATAGCTAATACCAAACAGGTACACTACCCTTCAAAGATTGGGGAAAGTAAGATTTTACTTAATGTTTTAAAGAAGTCTCTTACACAAAAATACAGTAAAAACAGTAATATTGTGAAATATTATTACAATTTAAAATAACTATTTTCTCTTTTAATATATTTTAAATTGTAATTTATTCCTGCGATGCAAAGCTGAGTTTTCAGCAGCCATTACTCCAGTTTTTAGTGTCACAGGATCCTTCAGAAATCAGTCTAATATGCCTAATGTTAAAAAAAGCTTAATATTTCAATATACAGTGCTGTTTAACTATGATACTTTTTCAGGATTCTTTCAGGAAATATCTCAAAAGAACACCATTTATTTAAAAGAAATATTTTGTAAGATTATAAATGTCTTTTCTGTCAATTTAAAAAAATGCATACATTCTGAATAAAAGTATTAATTTCTTAAAAAAAAATAAAATACTGCTGACCCCAAACTTTTGAAAGTAGTGTAGGTTGAACATGCTTCCTGTTACCAGAGGAAACATATGCTATTCATGTTTTTGTGCTAAAAGCGTTACCTGGGTAATTGTTGCTATCAACATCAACTCCTCCAGACACTGATTGGCCAAACATCCTGAAGTTGTCGCCCAACAAAGAGCCCGTTATTCTCTGCATCGAAGAAAGCACAAAGACAGCATTCAGAAGATATTTAGATTCAAAATTTGACATATTAAATGCCAATGGAGTTGTACTGTACTCCAAGAGACATGCAAATCATCTTATTTATGGACGTTCTTACATCTATTTCAAGAGATCCCATGTTAATATAATACTTAAACGGGAGGAAGGTAAACTGATTTAGCAATCCATAATGGAGAGCTACATAACTAGAAATATAAAGGGAAAAATTTGTCAAATGAGAAATGTAAACATTGTTTTTGGCTAATTTAAATGCCCATGCTCTCTGGAATACTTGATTTTGAATGGTCAGTGACAGTTTATTTTGCAATAATGACTAGATGAATGCATATTATAGCTTTTTTTTTTTTTTACTTTGCAGACACTTTTATTGAGTGACTTACATTTAAGTTTTACATTTAATTAGTTTGTGTAACATTGCAATCAAACCCATGACCTTTGACATTGCTAGCATCATGCTCTACAATTTCTGGAAAACCACAGCACTGTTACAAGGCCACAAGAGCTGCTGCTGATCACTACAAACATCCTGTATGTAATCATTTTGGCCTGAAGTTAATATAATTAGATGAAGTTCTTCCTAAACATTTGTTTGTATAACTGGATTCTCATGATTTGGATTTGTTCTGATCACTGCTTGAAACTACACATGGAGAGAGAGGGATTTTAGGAAATTACTGCAATTAGACTGAACGCTTAGTACTCCAGTGTGGAAGAGAGAAGAAGAAAGACTCAAAACAATAGGGCTGTTTGCACAGGATGGGGAGGACTGCTCAGGTCTGACCTTTCCCGCCTCCGTTTCATTCTTCCCTGCCCATAATATCAGCATAAACAGCAGCTGGGGAACGTACTTGAGAGAAACTCTGTGCAATACCACTTCTCCTCCCATTGTAGATATATATAGCACCATGCAGATCGTCCTCCTGAGGGGCTCCGATGGCCACATCTGAAACACAAGCACTGTTGCGTTAGCTTTGTTCCAAAACCTAGTGTTCAGTCTAATTAGACAACATTTTAAGAGTGTTGCAAAACGTAGGAAGCATAGATGAGCAACCTTTTAAGGTATAGCATTAGCATTCAAAAGATTTTTAAAATGTTTTTGAAAAAAGTCTCACCAAGGCTGCATCTATTGGATAAAAATATAGTAAAAACAGCAATACTGAAAAATATCATTGCATTTTTTTTTTTTTTTAAATACTGTTTTGTATTTTAATATAATTTGTATGTATTCCTGTGATGACAAAGCTCAATTTTCAACAGCCATTACTCCGGTCTTCAGTGTTACACGATCCTTTAGAAATCATTCTAATATGCTGATTTGGAATTTAAAAATTATTAAGAAGAAAAATTATTATAAATGTTGTGGAAATAGTAAAACAATTGTTTCAGGATTCTTTTATGAATATAAAGTTATAAAAAAACAGCACATATTTGAAATCTTTTGAATGTCTTTACTGTCACTTTTTATCAATTTAATGCATCCTTGCTTAATACAAATATTCATTTATTTAAAAACAAATTACTATTCCCAAATTTTGGAATGGTACTGTACATTATTTTGGTCAAATTCTAACGTAGCATTGCATATATTATATAATATACATATGTGATCCTGGACCACAAAACCAGTCATAAGGCTCAATTTTTGAAATTAATATTTATTCATCATCAAGAGGTTTCCATTGATGTATGGTTTGTTAGGACAGGTACAACTATTTGAATATCTGTAATCTAAATATTGAGAAAATTGCCTTTAAAGTTGTCCAAATGAAGTTCTTAGCCATGCATATTACTAAACAAAAATTAAGTTTTGATACATTTACGGTAGGAAATTTACAAAATATCTTCATGGAACATGATCTTTACTTAATATCCTAATGATTTTTGGTGTAAAAGAAAAATCGATAATTTTGATCCATACAGTGTATTGTTGGCTATTGCTTCAAATATACCTGACCTGTGCTACTTATGATTGGTTTTGTGGTCCAGGGTCACATATGATATATTATTCATAAAAAGGCATTCCCATAAAGCAATGCAAGCTCAGTGACAGCATTCATTTCAGAGAAATCATTACAAATATACATAAAATGCATGCAATACTGACAAGAACTGATAGACTGTTATGCCCAATACTTTGTGTGCTAGATATTTTTAGGTTTATTAGAACAGATATTAGAACAGATGTTTTCTCAGAAGATAGCTGTCATGACATTAAACATTATTTATATAATAATTTATGCTGACGCACTGGCACTAGTCAGTAACAATGTGACGCTGTGACAATAAGGTGCAAGTTTAATTATGTGTGAGCAGGCATGTTTCACTCTTTTAACAGCTGTTTTACTGTGGTCCATTATAGTAGATGTGTGATTGTTCTTTCTAACCATGCTCTGTCTGTAAACCACACCTACCGCTCTACAGAGAATTATCAAGATCATCTTCAAATCTGATTCAGAGATGAACAAATATCTAGCCATGAAACCACTCTAATGTGAAGATGGGGTTTCTATGACAGGAGACAGGCTTTGAAATATAAAGAAGATACAAAACGAGGAAGTGAAACATTGAGGTTTACCATCAAACCTTGCTTGAGGAAAAAAACAAACCCTTACAAGTACCACTTACAGCAAAATACAGCAAAACATGATACCGTAAAATTTTAGTACACTTGGCTAGTCAAATAAAGCAATTCAGCATGAGAAACGTACAAAACTGAAGTGGTTTATAAAGGATCCATACTCAAACATTGATGTGTCAGGCAGACATACAGTACTGTACCTGGATATCCGTCATCATCAATATCACCAAGGTTCATGATGGTTTCTCCAAAACGTGCTGCGTAAGAGTCACTTCCAACTAACTCAAAGTCTGCCTCTTTCAATTTAGCCTGAGAAAGAGACACAGTGATACTCAAGTTCAAGTTCAAGTTCAGTTTTATTTCTAGAGCACATTTAAGCACGAAACAAGGCCGACCAAAGTGCTGCACAACATACAATAATATATAACAAGGAGAAGATCAGTAAACAAACAGAAACAATTCAAAATCCATACAACAACAAAAGCAGATTAAAACAATTCAAAGGCACATATTACTACATGTTAAAAGCCAGAGAGAAAAGATGTGTTTTAAGATATGACTTGAGGATATCTTGATACTGAGGATATTTTCAAGAGAAGCATGGTGTTAATTGTTAGAAGCAGATACACAATTGACCACAGCTGGCCAAACTGTTTTTGTGCTTCAACTGTGACCAGAAAATGTGCAAACTATGGTTTGAGTTATCATAAAACAACACAGTAAATGGTGATAGTCAAGCAGTCATATGTGAAGTGTTAAAAGCATGGTGCTTTTTGGAGTAGGTGGTTAATTTTTGACATTATGGGAAAAGGAAACCTGTTCTATTTATATGGCCTTGGTGGTCACAATCAAAACCAGAATACATACGTCTACACTGAACAAACACAATAAGATAAAACAGTTCTAAATATGCAGATGTGATTTCATCAAATGCATTACAATGGAACTCGTACCATTCTAAAATTACCAATATAGTTAGGAATAAATGGGTGCATTGCATCAAACCCATCAAGAACACAAACTGGTCATATTCCACCCCAAAAGCTTTATGGTTTAAAAAACTAAGCACATTTTCTCATCATCCCTTTACATCATTTTTAGAGATGCAAATTTTCTAAATGTATATATATTTACAAAAAAGGTAGTATTTGATGTAATGTTTTTAATTGATGCTGATTTACATATAAAACAATAAAATAATATTGATTTATTTATTATTTATTATTTTATTTATTTTTTATGCATGATTATGTTTAGGTCCAAAATTATTTTATGTGTGTATGTGTATACACAAAATTAATTTTAAAAGTACTTTTGGTGGTCCTAAAAACAAACAAACAAAACATTATTTTATTGCTTTTATTTTTAGGGTAAACTATTTTTTGTGAGATTAACCCATAGGTATGTATCAAAACATAATTAAATATATATCATGTCACTGTCTCACCTCTCCCTGGTTTATGTAGACATGAACACGTCCCTCCTCCCTCACTGAGCTGAACATAGGAGCCCCAACCAGCAGATCGGACAGTCCGTCTGCATTCAGGTCAACAGCACATACACTAGCTCCATAATAAGAGCCAAGCTGTAAACAGGAGCAAACATCACTATTGTGTTCATTCAGCAGGAACATGCCCTAGGAACACTTCAAATTCTTGAAATTTCTTACCTCCTTGCCTTTGGTTTTGGCAACGATTTTCAAAGTGTTACCCTCAATCCTGAATATGTAGGCCTGGGGTAAAAGAAAACACAGGAATATGGGAAATGGGAACTATAACACACAGCAGCCTACCAATGGATTGTATATGCTGGTGAATGAAATACATTTTCGTATAGTTTCAACACAAATATGAATGGTAGCTCACTGATAAGTTTTTTTCCAGTCTCTGTTTCTTTGGTAAAATCATCAGACACCATAACGTTACTCACAAAACTCATAAACACTGCAAACTCAGCACATCTGCAAATAAAAACCTACTTCCTCTTCCGCACAGATGGAAGAAGAGTTCAGTTTAACCGTTTTACCGTTCGCAACTGCCTACAGAGTATAGATGTCAAGAGGGTCTCATATCTAATTCCATTAATGCACAACTACTGATATTCAGTATAGTGTATTCTGAAGATTGCTATTAAGCTATAAAAACCTACAGGCTGTGTCAAACAGTCTAACCAAACTAGAGAACTGTGACATTCAAAATGTGGTCTGTTCTAATAATCAGATGAGGTTGGTGGTGGTGGTGTTAACCCTTACTTTACCAGTCTGTTCATGCTGGGGAGCACCACCCACTATCTCAGTGCTTTGAGGATCTAGAAAGTGTCCAGCACTAACAGCATAACCTGATGGGAAGAAAACCATACATTGTGGTAAAATGTCCCAACTGCCCATTCAAAGTCCACAAAAACACTGTAAAAATGGTAAAAAAAAAAAAAAAAAGGGGAAAAAGATAAAAGTCCTAATCTTCCTAATCTACAGAGTTATTATGGTTAACTAAAATGTGAAATAAAATAAACATTAACTGAAATAAAACAAAATATACAAATTGTATTGAATATAAAAATATTTATATTTTATTTCAGCTTGCCAATTCAACATTTCTTATTTTCATGTAGTTTAACTTGATGAACTAAAAAACTACATTTTAAATAAAAAAAACAATATAGACATATTTAAAAAATAATAATATAAATGACAAAAAACACAAAAAATTACTAAAACTTTCAATTTAAAATGAAAATGGAAAATATAAAATTGAAAGTAATTCAAATTATTCATAAACATTGACTGATACTAATCAGTGATACTAAAATAACAATGTGCAATGTAATTGCACATTGCAATGTAAACTAACCCTTGCAAGTAACTTTTGTAGCTTGATTCAGTGATATTAAATCACATTTGTGGCTTGAATAAAAACTGTTCATTTTGACTTTACAATGCTCGTGATAAGTGGAAAAGATTTCTTTTTTAAAGTCATTATAGAGAGCCTTCACAAGCAATTTCTTGCTGATGAAATACAAATACACTTTTATATTCACTATAGACATTTTTATTTATTTATTTTATTAATCTACATGACTTTTCAGGCTTGGAAATTAAATTTCCCTGCATGTCTTCCATGACAGCAGGAACCCTTTACAAAATGTGACTGTAGGGCATGAAGATATTAAGATATTAAATATAAACATTAACATCGCTACATTATTATTATTAGTCGCTTGAAACAAGTGTATTGTGAAAATCAAATTTATACAAATAAATTTGATTTGACTGACTACTTTACTGTTAAGAGAGGAACCCACAAAATCACATGTACAAAATGCAATATCCATGACTAAAATGAGACATTGCTGTATGTTTGTTTAGAAAGTATAAATAGGTTGCCATGAGATCAAAACAAAGTGACACGTTAGCCATATTTTGCAACAATGTGATGCTCGTAGATTATGCAACGGTGTCTGTTTCCTGTTTAAATAGAAAAACGTTATGCCAGATAACAGCAAAAGTCTGTATCCTGCTGCACGTCTTAAGAAGCTGATGATCACTGGATTACATGTATCTTTTTACATGCTTAATAGTAAACAAATTAGACCACTGTATCTCTAAACCCCAAAAGGAAAAGCACTTATTAACCAACATAACCTAATACACGTGGCCTAATGGTTAGAGAGTCGGACTCATAACCCAAAGGTTGCGGGTTCGAGTCTCGTACCGGCAGGGATTGTAGGTGGGGGGAGTGAATGTACAGCGCTCTCTCCCACCTTCAATACCACGACTGAGGTGCCCTTGAGCAAGGCACCGAACCCCCAACTGCTCCCCGGGCGCCGCAGCAAACAAATGGCTGCCCACTGCTCCGGGTGTGTGTTCACGGTGTGTGTGTGTGTTCACTGCTGTGTGTGTGCACTTTGGATGGGATAAATGCAGAGCACTAATTCCGAGTATGGGTCACCATACTTGGCCACATGTCACGTCACTTTACACAAATCTTAAAAAAACAGACCATACAGTATTTCTGTTCCAAAACCTACACAGGCAGCAATTCACATGCACACGCCTGCCATTATGGATGTAATGATCTTGTTATGCAAAAAGGATCCGCACACTGTTGTTCTCCCTTTATTTAGAAAAGTTGAAAGTAGCGGCAATGTTTCGGTCAAAGACCGCAGATCCTTTTTGCATGATTTGTTGTATCTTTTGATCTTGCACCTGACTAAGAAGATTTGGATGTGCGTACTTTGACTCTTTTTTAATGTAATGATCTTGTTGCAATGCATTCTGGAATGGCCTTCTCCGTGAAAAAATACATGCTGCCTTAGAATTTGAATAAAATGAGGTATCTTAGCAGGCAGCACAATAAATCTCCCTACAGTTCTTTGCATCTCTGATACCTTATAACCTTGCCTATATGCTTACTTGGATTTGTTACAAAGAATACGTTAACTATTTCAGAACTCACCTAAATAGCTGCCATAGAGAACTTCACTGTCATCATCCACATAAGCAGCTGAAATGTTGCTTGTGGTGTTGTAGACAAGAACGGATCCGGTCCAGTATGAGGTACCAGGGGCTCCCATGACCATCAGGTCCTACAAATACAAGATATTGTTACCAAATCGATTGAATTCAATGTCAGCTCAATCAAAATGCCATAAAAGTTCCTTATACCTCTGTGAATAAATTTGATATTCCTGCTTGACATGACCCATAACCTTCACCAAACTTCCTTTGATGATCTAAGAAGAGAAAATGAACACTAAGCAACATTTGACACTAAGCAACAATTTGTTTGCTTTAGGATATGCTAGGTTTAAACCTGTGAACCACAACCTAACCAATACAGAAGTAATGGATATCTATACCTTTATAGCAGGGGATAATATGACTGGCATGTTTCAAATCTGGGCTGAGTCTGAAGCAAACACCATGAGGCAGCTTGTTCTGATTGTCTCTACTAGAGTAGTAGACATTCTTCCACCGATGTCCACATGCCTAAAATTTAAACCAGAATAGAGTGAACTAAACAATTATTTACTTATCATAGCCTTCATCATACATATTCCACACGAAACTATCATGAAACAATTTAGTTCTTTATTAACATTTCGGACTTAGAAGTAAACAGGAGCTTTTACATTTAAAATGAATAATTGTAGTGCATTTACTCACCTCACCATAAAAAACATAACCATCAGTTAAAAACTTAGAATAATTAAGATTTTTTAAGCATTTTTGAAAGAACTTGTGCTTACCAAAAGCTGCATTTATTTGATCAAAATACAATAAAACAACAATACTGTGAAATATTATAATTTAAGATTGCTGTTTTCTATTTATTATATCTTTAACATCTAATTTATTCTTTTGATGGCAAAGCTAAATTTTCAGCCGTCAATACTCCAGTCCTCTGATATACTGATTTGGTGCTTAATTATTATCAATTATTATTGGTGCTCCATTATTAATAATGTTTCTTATTATGACCAATGTTAAAAACAGTTTTTACTGCTTATTTTATTTATTTATTTATTTATTTTCATTTTACACCAAACATTTGAATGGTAGCATGTCACGGTTTCCTGTTTTCAACATTTCAAATATTAAGGAATGTTTCTTGTGCACCATATCAGCATATTAGACTGATTTCTGAAGGATCCTGTGACATTGAAGTTTGGAGTAAAGGCTGCTAAAAAAAACTACTTTGTTTAATATATAATAACAGGAATAAATGACATTTCAAAAATGAATTAAACAGTTATTCTAACTTGCAATAATATTACGGCTGTATTTTTGTTCAAATAAATGCAGCCTTGGTGAATGAAGTGCATGCTTTGACCAAAAGACATACCAAAACATGGCCTTTTGAGGGCTGCCGGGACAGACTGACACCGAGCCACTGGTTATCATTCTCTGCCAAACAGTGTCTTCCACAGTGCCGTACACCTCCTGAAAGCATGCAGTCAAATTAATACACTTAATATGCCTAAATTAACACACAATCAATCAAGAGCCCAAACTGCTTACGTTGGGAAACTATGCAAAATGTTAGAGACACGCAGTGCAAATGTTTTTCATCTCAAGCAAATTCACACCTGTGGCTCACAAGCTCAATTCTGAATGACACAGGCTGAGGAGCATGTGGTGAAATTTGCAAAAACAAGGCTACAAATACCTCTGAAAGTAACATGTTGTGATGCAAAAAGAAAGTGCTTTGAAACTGGGGTTTTCTGAGCATCACTTATGAACCATGTCCATTCCACACCATATTAAATCTTCTTGTAAGACTATTAACAGCAACTAGATCCTGACATTTCAGAAGAAAATTAGTGGGTTTTTTGCTCATGCAAAACTACACAATGTGGTCTTGTAGATGGTTGCCAGGGTATTGCATGTGGTTGCTAAGGTATTTTGAGTGTTTTTAGCCTGTGGTTGCCTCCTTGCCCAAGTGAAAAGGTCTTGAAGAACCAAATCTGATCCCTGTGTATGGCTCAGTCACTCAATGAAAGTCTATTATAGTTTTTCTCTGCCATTTTATTATTGCCAGGGGAAATTTATATAATCCTGATTGCTTAGAAAAGTAACAGCACACAACACCTATAGCACATGTATCGGAGTGAATTACATGCTAAAGTTACATTAGCTACTATGGCTTTGGTCAAACCTCTAATCCTAAGTACAAGCAATAATAATAGTGATACCTCTCTTAGCAGATGCCACTAATAATGAAACCTTTTCAGACACATCAACAATCTCGAAACGAACGTGTTTGCACTCCAGCATGGCTTTTGGTGGAAATTATTTGTTTAATGCCATTTCCCTTGACTAAACAGAGACATTTTTATTTGCGAGCTATATATATCCTGTAGCTTGACCTACAAAGAAGACTATCCCCCATCCCTTGTTTCGGGCTGGGATTATAAGCATCCTCTTCCTGACAGGAGGAAACCCTCCACAGTCTGGCTGACCCCGCATGGGGGATTCATTCACAGGACGTTTTCACAGTCAGGCGTCTAGAAAGCACCCACAAGTTCAATCAGAGTGCTTTCAGAAAGTGTGAAGTCTAAACGGTACAACGTGGTCAAATGGAAATGCTTGACTGTTTAGAGTTGGTCTACAGCAAACAGAAGGATGAAAACGAGGGAGAAATCCACAGGAACTGTGGGATAACTTTTATAAATAACATAAGCCCTGCTAGATTACGTAAAGTGTTTAACAGATCATTAAAGTACATTATGAAATGTCATGAACTGATTTATATTATATTGGTATATTGTCTGAGACTACTATTGATTATACTTTTTTTCCTATTTTAAATATATGATCAGTCT